ATCAGTACATGAAGCCTTGAAAGATAGGAATTGGGCTCAAGCCATGCAAGAGGAGATGAATGCTTTGGAGAAAAATAAAACATGGGAGGTTATTGATAGACCCAATGGAAAGAAAGCAGTAGAGTGCAGATGAGTTTATGCCCTGAAATATAATTATGATGGCACTCTTGAGAGATACAAGGCTCGATTAGTGGCCAAAGGTTACACTCAAACCTATGGCATTGATTATGAAGAAACCTTTGCTCAAGTTGCAAAGATGAATACAGTAAGAATCTTGTTATCTCTTGCTGCCCATTACAATTGGGATATAAATCAATTTGATGTGAAAAATGCTTTCCTCAATGGTGAGTTAGAAGAAGAAGTCTATATGGAAATCCCGCCTGGTTTTGATTCTGTGAAGGGGAAAATAAAGTTTGTAGATTAAAAAAGGCCTTGTATGGATTGAAGCAGTCACCTCGTGCTTGGTTTGGAAGGTTTACTAAGATTATGATGACCTTAGGATACAGACAGAGTCAAGGAGATCACATTTTTTTCTTCAAGCACTCCCAAAATGGGAAGCTTATTGTGCTCCTTGTATATGTTGATGATATTATTATCACAGATGATGATTTTGTGGAGAGACAGATTCTGCAAACACGGCTTGCCTCTGAGTTTGAAATCAAAGACCTTGGGAAACTGAGATATTTCCTAGGGATAGAAGTAGCTCATTCAAGCAAAGGAATTTTTATCAGCCAGAGGAAATATTTTTTGGATCTTCTCAAAGAAGCAGGAAAGCTCGGGTGTAAACCCTCTAATACTCCTATTGAGCAGAATCACAAGATGAGCTATGAAGAAGAGAGTCCTCCAGTTGATAAAGGACAATACCAACGGCTAGTTGGGAAATTGATATATCTGGCCCATACTAGACCAGACCTAGCTTATGCTGTTAGTGTTGTCAGTCAGTTTATGCACGATCCAAAGGAAAAACACATGCAGGCAGTAGAGAGAATTCTTCAGTATCTTAAAGGTACTCCTGGTAAGGGATTGTTATTCCGACGTGATGGCAATCTATCTTTAGAAGTCTACACAGATGCTGATTATGCTGGATCCGTGACTGACCGTCGTTCTGCCACTGGTTATTGTATGTTTCTTTGCGGTAACTTGGTGACATGGAGAAATAAGAAACAAGATGTGGTTGCCAGATCAAGTGCAGAAGCTGAATTTCGAGCTATGGCTCAGGGCATTTGTGAGTTACTGTGGCTGAAAATTGTACTTGATGATCTCAAAATAAAATGTGAGGGACCTATGAAGCTGCTATGTGATAATAAGTCCGCTATTTGTATAGCTCATAATCCAGTTCAACATGATCGGACTAAACATATTGAGGTCGACCGCCATTTCATCAAAGAGAAACTTGATAGCGGGTTGATTACCACTCCATACATTCCCACTGGGCGTCAATTAGCTGATCTATTAGCAAATGGGCTTCCTTCAGACAGATTTCAAGAACTTACTAGCAAGCTGGGAATGATAAATATCTATTCCTCAGCTTGAGGGGGAGTGTTGTAAATAATAATAATTTAGTTATTATTTAGTTATTTATTTGTTGTATTGGGCCAAGCCCATTAGGTCAAAATTAGGTCAAGTATTCTCTATAAATAGAGAACCCTTTGTACAGATTATACACAATTCAATAATATTTCAAATACCTTTTTCTTTCAAGTCTAAGAAATTCAAAATAGACCCATTTAATTGAAATCGTGGTCACTCAAAAATTCAAAAAAGACCCACATTAGTCCCTCAAAATGATTAAATTGGGTCCACTTTGAATTTCTTAGGTACCACGAATATCCTTTTTATTTGCTAGGGACTAAAGTGGGTATCGTAAAATTTACTGAGGACCGAAAAAGATATTTATTATATGATAAAAGTATGAAAAAATATTTTTACTTTTGCTGATTTTTTTTTTTTTCTATTTCACATTTATATAAAAATAAGTGGTTCCAATTGTAAAGAAAAAAAAGATAAAAGATTTATGGAATCTACTCATTCTGATATATGAGTACGACAGAAAAAAAATTCAATAATAAAAATAGAAACATCAAATATTAAAGTATGAGCACTTCAACTTGCGGATTCTGAAAATCCAGGATCGCTAGTTTATGGATTTCACTTTCATATCCATTGCTATGCGGATGGAAAATTTCTTCTCCAAGTGCCGTCTAAGGACGGTGAAGTAAAGTACGTCCTCAAACAAACAGATATTGTCAGGATAAATGAAACAAAATTGACAAAACTACAATTTGGACATACCCTAGGCTTAGAGCTGGTAAAACGGGTTCGGTTTGGCAGGCCAGCTCGCTAAATGAGGCGGAGTGGGCTGAGTTTTTTAACCCATCTCAAAAGCGGGACAGGACAGAGCGAGCTCATTTTTTGGCAGGTTGATGACGGACATAAGCGGGCCGAGACGAGTTAGTGTAAAATAAGTTTGGGCTGGCGGTCCAACCCGCCAAACGGGGCTGGACGGGCTGAGTTTTTCAGCCCACTTTCAAAAGTAAGACAAGGCGGGCTGATTTATTTTTTGGCAGGATGAGATGGGCGGAGCGGGCTGCCCACTTTGCCACCTCTACCTAGGGTACACCAGAATTTACTCCCATTTGGGTTATTCGTCCCTCATATAGCTTGAGTTCAAAAGCTGGAGGGCATTTTCTAAATAAAATGTTATTTATTTATTTTTTTTGTAAAATAAAATGTTATTTTAGTTTGGTAAGAAATGCTACGGATATAGTAAGAAACTAGTCTTTTAGTTATCTGATATTAATAGACTTAGACATTAAGGTAAAACAATATCCTGTTTCGGTGAACTTATTTTGTGTTTAAAATAATTTCAATCAAGGTTTTATTAAATTTTTAAAAATAGTTATTTCTTCAAAACAAGATTTACCATACACGCATTTAATATGTTAGAGTATTTAATTTTAGGGACAAGTTCAAAACTCCTATATTTACGACCCTATTTTTTTTTAATCATTTACTCCCTAATTTTTTTTTAATCCAAGTCCATCTTTAATATCATTAGAATCTTAACTAGTAACTACTCTACCTATTTTATCCTTCTTAGAATAAGGGAGTAAACTAATCACAAAAAATAAAATAAAAGAAGAAATAAGATCAAATATGTTGAAAATTAACTTATAATACTTATATAGAAAAGACTAAAAGTAAAAAAATAGAAAAAATTAAATATGTCTAAATTAAAAAGAAGAAGATAGAAAAAAAATTCAAATATATCTAAATAAAAAAGAAAAAATAACACCAAATATATTGAAAATTTACCAACTGATTTTTTTTTTCTCATTTTTTTTAACAATTATAGAAGAGACTAAAAGTAAAAAAATAAAAATATAACAAAAAAGATCAAACATATCAATCAAAAAGAAGAAAATAGTATGAGGACAAAAAAGAAGAAAAAAAATAAAATCAAATATGTTGAAAATTTATAATTTTTTATCTTATTTTTTATTTTATTTTTTTCAGTCAATCTTTTCTTTTTGATTTATACTATTTTTATTTTATTTTTTAATTTTCTTCTTTTCTGTCACTGTTATAAATTTTTAATATATTTGGTCTTATTTTTTTTTTAATCCTTAATTTATTTTTATTTTTTCGGTAAACTATTATCTTCTATTTTATTTAGACACTATTTTTTTATTTTACTTTTTGTCTTCTTTTTTTAAGTATTGTGAGGTTCCTTTCTTTTTTGTCATTAGTTTATTTTTTTATTTTAAGAAGGGAAAAATAAGTATAGTAAAGTTTCTAATGGTGTTAAGACTAGATCTGGATGGAAAAAACTATACTTATGAGTTATGATAAAAAAATCATAGGAGTTTTTTTGAACTTTTCTCTTAATTTAAAACAAAATTATTTTTACTATATTTATGTAGCTTAAACTTAAAATATAATACATTTATCATTGATATGTAATCATGCTAAAACAAAAGCCACGCAAGATATATATAATATTTTTTGGAATGTTTTTTATAATAATTCGTGATTGAATTATATACTTTTGAAGTGTTGTTTATAATAATTTTATGATTGAATTATATATTTTGAAGCATTATTTATAATAATTTTGTGATTGATTTATATTATTATTATTATTTATTTTAGAGTTTTATAACGACTATTCATAAACAAAGAGGCATAACTATTCGAAAACGAAGATGTAGGACTTTCGAAACCAAAAAGTAGAGACGGTTCTGAAATGAAAAGGCGCAATTGTTAAAACGCGAATAGAAAAACAAAAATGACACAATTGTTTCAACTTCTTATTCATTAGGGATGTTTATCAATCGATTTAAACCGATTCAAACCGTGATGATCAAATTGATAAACGAGTTAACCGAAAATTGAAACCCAAAAAAAATCACATATTTTAAATGGATTGGACCATTTTTTGATTTGGTTGGTAAAAACTGATGCAATGTATTATGTATTTATCATTTTTGAAATTCCGCAACTTGTTATTGATAGTAAACTACCTTAAATTTTTTTGGATTGAATCGAATATTGAAAAAAATTTAAATTGAATAAATGATTAAATGATCAAATTAAAAAGATTGAATCTGATGATTTTTGTTTCAAAATTGATCTAATCTATACAGTGAACACCCCTACTTCATAACAATTTATCCAATAATATATACAATATTCATTTTTCATGGCCTCCCCGTTGCCGCAGTCATTTAAACAAAAATATTTTTATGCAACTTAAAAATTAAGATTTAACAGACAGGCATGTATATGTTAGAGAATTTAATTTTAAACAAGAATATTTTTACTATAATTATGTAGCTTAAAATAGATATTTCTTAAAAATTAAGAATTACCAGAGCATTTGTCATTGATACGTAATCATCATGAATAAAACAAAAGTCAGGAATGAAAATAATTATATATATATACAATACTCCACGGTCCACCCCATTGCCACCGTTGTCGCAGTCCAACAACAATGGTTTTTTCTGCCGAAGTAGAGTGAGCTTCAGAGAATCTCTTCTCTTTTTTCTCTGAAAAGACTAATTTTTCATTTCTAGCTCGCATTTCATCAGAAAAATAATGGCAATTGGCTTCCATTTCACCATTATTCTGTTTTCTTTATTTTCTGTTCTGAGCTTCACCTTTACTTTTGCCCATTTCATACCAAGATTTCCTACTTCAGCGGTGCATCCAGAGCTGAACTTTAACTCTGATTCTGCCCAAAATGGGCTTTACAGAACAAAGTTCTTCACCCAAACACTTGATCACTTCAATTACAATCCCCAGAGCTACCAAACATTTCAAGAAAGATATCTAATCAATGATACCTATTGGGGCGGTGCCAAGAAGAAAGCTCCAATCTTTGTGTACACAGGAAATGAAGGGGACATAGAATGGTTCACACAGAACACAGGCTTTATGTTCGAAAAAGCACCTTATTTTCAAGCCCTTTTGGTTTTTATTGAGGTAAGACTTCTTCATTTGTTCAAGTGTATATCTCTGTCTTTAATTTGCCCAAAAGGTGTAATTATTAACCTTTTACTGTCTTGAAATGCAACTTGGCCAACCTGAGCTGTTTTAACCTTTGGATTGTTAACTGTTAATAATTTAAACATACTCTAATTCAATGCATTACAAATTAAACTGCAGCATAGATTCTATGGAAAATCATTACCATTTGGTGGAAACCAAAAGGTTGCATATGCAAATAGCAGCACACTTGGATATCTGAGCTCCACGCAGGCATTAGCTGATTATGCCACTCTCATCATTGATCTGAAGAAGAATTTGTCAGCAACTGACTCCCCTGTTGTGGTTTTTGGAGGATCCTATGGAGGAAGTATGAGCCTATCTCATTATCACCTTTTTTTTATTTATTTCTTTTAAAGTGTTTACATCTATTTAACTTATAATAGTTAATTCCCCTCCCTAATTGAGATTAGTCCAAAATCTAAATGGGTTTTGCAGTGTTGGCTGCCTGGTTCAGGATGAAGTATCCTCACGTTGCCATTGGAGCCTTAGCATCCTCTGCTCCAATCCTCCAATTTATGGATTTGGTTTCACCAGATATCTTTGACAGCATCATCACACAAGACTTCAGGGTTTCTTTCTCTCTCCCCAACAGGAACCTTTTTTTTTTTTACCATGACATGTGAACATTTTATTTTTATAGATAATTCTAATGGATTGTTTAATTCTGCATAGAAGACCCACATGTAAGATAGATCATTGAATTAGAAAGTAATAGAAAAAGGGCATTGCCCTTACCTATTAATTAATTAACATCTTAATATGAAACATACAACTCAAACATGCACATTAATGTAGCCATGGTTATTGAAGAGTAACATTTCTTTTCTGTTGCATATATTTCATAGGGCGAGAGTGAGAATTGTTACAAAGTGTTAAAAGGGTCTTGGCAACTAATTGAAGACACTGCCAACAAACACGGAGGACTGGAACTACTCCGGAAATCATTCAGAATATGCAAGTGAGAGCATGGTTAATGCAAAACGATTTATATAATCGCAGATAAATAACCTATTAAGGTGATTTTAGTTTATTATATCATTGTTTTGTTGCAGGAATGATATTGGCGCAGGTGACTTGGAGGATTGGCTTCAGACGGCGTTGGTTTATACGGCCATGACAGATTATCCGACCCCATCCAATTTCCTGAATCCCTTGCCTGCGTATCCAGTGAGAAAGGTGAAAATTATATAGTCTTAAAATACTTTATTTTATTTCAGTGATTGATTTCATGCCACATTTCTTTTTTTTAAATCGTTAATTATAGAATAATTGTTATAAATAATTTATTTAATATATTTAATCGAAATGATTATCATACAGTAAAACAATCATTTTTTATTTCAAAATATTGAAAATTCTATCATAGTTATTTTATTCTGAAAAATAATTATTTTTATATATACAATTATTTATCTATAAAATTTTTTTTGATGTGTGATGGAGTAAATTCTATGTTTTGTTGATAGTGACAAAGATATTTTTTATGATAAAACAAGAATTATGTTATTTGTTTGATAATATTCTATAAATAATATGTTATATTACAAATTTTTAATAAATGTATGCCTTTAAAAATAAAAATAAACAAAATAAATATAACTGTAATAATCTTTTGTTGGATTTGCTTATTTGTTTTATATTTTTCATATTGAAAGAGATAAATTTATATATATATATATTTTTTGGTAATCAGATAAATTTATATTCTTTATTACATATAAAGTTTGTGTAATTCATAACTTATTTTTCTCTTTTTTCTCTTTATATGACTCCATATAAATTTTATATATTTTTATATTTGTATAGTACATAAAATTATCTTCTTGAAAAAAAAATTCGTAAAACAAAAAAGTGAAAGAGGGAGACTTCGGAGACCGAAGAGGCAGTTTTTTTTTTTTAAAAAAAAAAATTATTTGACTTGACTTTGAATTGTGGGAATTTAGATGTGCGAGGCGATTGACAGCTCAGTCACGGAAAATAATACATTTTCCAAGTTGTATGCTGCAGCAAATATCTACTACAACTACACTGGCACTGCCACGTGTTTCGATTTGGATGATAATTCGGATCCTCATGGTCTTGCTGAATGGCAGTGGCAGGTACTTATATATATATATATATATATACGTATATATAATGAAATATAATTGCATATGATCATTCTTCCCCAATCTTGATTAGTTGTATTTTTAATTTAACTGAACTAATAGTTACAAATTATTAATATATGACTATATCTATGTGAATGCCTTAAAATTATATTTAGAAAAGAGAATATTATAATATTCAACATGTGTTGTGTTATTATTTTAATTTAGATAAATTTTAATTCTTGAATTTAACTTTTAACTCTGTTATATTTTATAAGAGATATATTTAGTTGAAATTATTATTTATAAAAATCATATTATTGTGACATATTTTTGTAATCTCAAAAAATGCATCTTGCGTTGTGTAAATATCAAAATAAGTGTTTTCTATGGAAATGTATTTTCTCATATAAAAAAATGATATAGTCGTATGGGAATATCATAACTATATAAAAGTGAATCAATGGTTATGATTTTATAATTATCTATTTTAATATATATTTTATTATTATTATTTATTCACCTTGTATAATCATAATTTCTCATAAAATCATATGATATTTTTTTTTCATACGAGAACACGCAGATCCGTTTTTACATTGTAGGATCTCCATGCTCGGCATTCGTGCTATGAAAGAGTTATAAAATTGTTCCATCAATCTGTCAAAATAAATTTATATGTTAAATGCACGCATAAAGAGAAAGAGTGATATAGAGAAAGAAATGTTTAACATTGCTTCCCAATGAAGATATAGAGAAAGAAATGTTTGCAGACCAAAGAGAAAGAAATGTTTAACATTGCTTCCCAATCTGTTAAAAAAAAAAAACATTGCTTCCCAATGAAGAAAGGATTCTGTCAATAAAGCAGTATTAAAAGAGCTTCTTAGATAATAATAAGCCATGATAGGTGCATTTTTTTCAATCCAAATACATTTATATCGGATTAGATGTGAATAAATTGGATTGAATTATTATATTAATTAAGGTGATGCTTGGTATCGGAAATACTATAAGATTTATAAGAAAGTGAAATAAGAATAAAAGTTTTCATATTTAGCATAAGAGATAAGCAATCATTTTAAACTAGAAAATACACTCAGAAATTAAAATTTGTGAATAAGATGGAAAAATTACATTACCACCTGAATAGGAATAAAACTTTCCCATGAGAGATAGAAATTTTTAATATGCAAGTTATTAAACTGTCCCCGCAACTTGTCCTTTGTCGCGTTACTTAAATACTTTGCATTTCTTAGTTTTATTTTACAATTTTCTCTTGATTCCTTCACTCCACTCATTTTCCATTTGCTCCCGTCGGCGATTCAAACCTTATCAGTTCAACAGTCTCAATGCTATCACATGTCATTTGTATCCACAAGTTAGTATTTTCCACTTGTACCGATCATTAGAAGTCATAGAAGCTTCTTTTGGGCCAATAGACATGACACAGATCCCATGACATAACTCTCTTTCAATCCCATGGCCTATGGTTTCAGGCTCTAATATTATCGGGCTTTATATTGGGGCGGTTAATTGAAACACAAGAAAGCCATAAAAAAAAAGAGTCATTTTGAACCAATCTTAACTAGTTGATCCAAACAACGCAACCTAATTAGTTGATATAGTTAGTTATTCATTAGCTTGCTTCTGAGTTCCAACTCAAGACAACGAAAATGAAAGATATCAAATCAAAGAAAAACCTTTGTACCACCTTTAATGCCTAGAGGGTGTACAAAACCTTACATCCCTTAATCTGAGTCATCAAATGTATGAATTGGGTTTTTTTTTTTTTAATTACAGAAATGAATGTGAATATAGTGTAATATATATCAGTAATTACAATTTTGCAAATGAGTAGAGAAATAATGATGAGATGAAGTTTTTTGAATGCAGGCCTGTACGGAGATGATAATGCCCGTAGGTGGAAGCAATAACGAGAGCATATTCCCGGAATATGTATGGTCATACAAAACTAGATACGATTACTGCAAAAGTGCGTACAACGTAGAGCCAAGACCCCATTGGATTACAACCGAGTTTGGTGGCCATGTGGGTATTAACTATTAAATTAAATTTGATATAATAAATTCTCAATTTGCATATTCAATTCAATGCATGCTCTCAGTGGGTTCAATGTTATTAATGTTGATCGATTATGTTTTCTGCAGGATATTGGGAGTGTTTTGAAAAGGTTTGCGAGCAACATTATCTTCTTTAATGGTTTAAGAGACCCTTGGAGTGGTGGAGGGTATAGCATTGCATCTCTTCTTTTTATCCTTCATTTCCCCCGAGAGTATATATAATTTCACTGAATGCTAAAAGCAATTATTGCAATTCCAGATTATAACCACGCTAAGTATGGGTTTGGTTTGGTTGCAGGGTGTTAAAGACTATATCAAAAACTTTAGTTGCTATAGTTGCAAAAGAAGGTTAGCGGACCAAATTTGATATAAAATATCTGTTTTTCTTTTTATCATCCTCTTTCCACTTTCCTGTTTCTCTTTATTCATTTGGGCGTTTTGTAAGCAGGAGCTCATCATGTAGACCTAAGGTTCTCAACTAAGGAAGACCCAAAGTGGCTTAAAGATGTAAGGAAAAAAGAGGTGAAGATCATAGCAAGTTGGATCTCAAAATATCATCAAGACCTACAATCCAATAATTAAGGAGTTGTTCTCATTATTTGGCTTATCTTTGGAGGTATTGTAATTGATTATTGTCAAATGAAACAACAATGAAGGATTCCTAGAATAAAAAGCACGAATCTTGTGCTGGTTCTCATTTTCACAATAACTGATTTTCGCATTCTTTCGTCCCAGTGCCCACAGTCCATAGCTTCGCTCTTAAAAGATATGGATAAATATTTTTGTGATGCTATCTAAAAAGATGGGATTTAATTTTAATGCATTATTTTTACACTTTTAGAAGATAATATGTAACTTTTGCTAAAGTGAAAGATTATTCATTGCTTAATCAATAAACAATATGTAGTATTGTTTATATCGATTTTTTTAATGTCTTTCAGCCTCCTGTTTATGTGTTATAAGTTAATGATATATTATTATCTCTTTCAATTATCCTAAGAATTGCATAGGTATCTTATAGTAGTTGGAATATAAATTAAATGACTACGTGTAAGGATAGAATTTCCACCCAAAAGCAAATTGTTAATATTAAATAGGATTGATAATGATAGAAATATTAATATAAAATTATTAATAAAGTCACCACTTATCAGTTTAAGCTTGTTGTTGGTTGAATTGGTGTATTACATGATATTCAAAGCTTGTAACTAAATGGATGATATTATGATCAGGAGAGTATAAATTCTGTGGATGAGATTAACTTAACAAGACTAATATTAAAAACCATTAAAACCACTTATATGAAACTAATGCTTTCCGGATCTAAGTTCATGATTATGATTATGAATATAATTTATCAATATTTTTAAAATACAATGAAATAAACTTTGTGTATGTTGAAACATGCGTTATTTGCTTTGCAATCCTTTTATCATAATAAATAGCGTCCTTTCCTGCATAAATATATGGCAATTAAAGCATTGTTTTAACCATTAATTAATGATAATAAATTCGTTAAGATAAAAGGTTTGAATTTAAGAATTCCTTCTTTAGAAACGAACTGTATCACCCAGTGTGTGTGTCTTTTACTCCGTAATAAGATAAGATGAATTAGATAAAGCTGAATCAATATTTTATATTTATAATAATTTGTTCTCCAAAAAAAAAATTATAATAATAATATCACCTTATCTCGTTTATATTGTCCCCCTCCTTCAATTAACCCCTTGTTATTCTAGTTGCTTCCAAAGAAAAGATCTGATTTTTTTATTCTTTTTATTTTTTTTATTTTTTTTTGAAAAGCAAACAGGAAACAGAAAAAACAAAAAAAAAAACTAGGAACACCTCCTAGACCAAACTACTCCTACATAGTCCCTTTCAAGTTTGTCACGACAACCAGAAGGAGGCGAGTCAAACTCTTGTAAAGACCAATCAAAGGAGTAGGCAAAAGAGGCCATCCAATCGGCAACCCCATTCCCTTCCCTATGAATATGGGAAATTCTAACCCTCCAATTCCAATCCAGCATATTCCTTATGCGCAAGACCAAGTTGGAGGCTGGATGATGAGAGCTGCACCCTTCTCTTATGAAAAACTGGGCTACTAAGGAATCACCTTCAAGCCAGACAAAACGGAAACCTTTCCTCCATGCAATCTCAAGCCCAAGGAGACAACCCCAAAGTTCTGCTAACAAAACATTACCACAGCCAAGATTTTTACAAAAGCCAACAAGCCACCTTCCACTAGCATTCCTAAATACACCCCCACAAGCAGAAGCTTCTCCATTATTCATACTTGACCCATCCACATTGAGCTTAACCCAAGGGTCCGAAGGAAAAACCCAAGAAACTAATTTCTCTTTATTCGAGTTAGTCTCAAGACCAGCAACCCGAAGCGTGTTTTCTGACCAAGAAAAATCTTCACCATAGACCATAGCAGCTCTAAAAGTGCCATAAGCAGGAACAAAAGATCCCTGAAAAATTTTCTTATTCCTAGCTTGCCAAATGAAACAGGAAACGATACCAAACAGGAGGCCATGATGGCAAATTGGACCAATTACGATCCTCAGAGATATTGGACAACACCCATTGCTGAAGATTAAGAGAGAAAAAATCCTCCCAAGCCTCTCGCTTAACTGCAATCTCCCACACTTTTTTTGCTGCAATACAATCTCTAACCGCATGTAAGGAAGTTTCCGTAAAACAATTGCACAGATGACATATATCTGAACCCGCCATGTGCCGTCTGCAACGCCTTTCATTTGTCAAAATTTTATCTCCTAACAACAGCCAAAGGAACGTACGAATCCGTTCAGGTCCATGCCACTGCCAAACACGATTCCAAGGTAAATTGGTAGATTCCTCGTTACCCCTGGATATGGCCATATAAGCGGACTTCAGCGAAAAACTCCCATCAGATGTCCTTGTCCACAAAATTCGGTCATGACCATTAACATCCGAAGGAGGAAGGATGTTATTAATACGAGCATTGACGTGATCGGGAAGACTATGCTGGAAAGCCCCCCACATCCAACTTCCGGAGGATGAGACAAGATCAGAGACCATTAGCTGATGATTTATCTGAGAGGGATCATAAATAGCAGCATAGGATGAGAGTGCACCACAACCCGGAACCCACGGGTCATCCCAAAAATGAGTAGAATTTCCATTACCTAGCAAAATTCTGGAATGCTGTAATATCACAGGCCAAGACGAAACAACTGCTTTCCAAAGAGAGGAGCTATTCCGAGTAGCAGAAATATTAGGAACCAAATCAGACTGAACTTTATACTTGCTCTTTAAAACTCTAGCCCAAAGCGCGTCTGGATTAGAAAGGATCCCATAACCAATTTTCATAATAAAAGTCCTGTTAACTTCCTTCATTTTCCTCAGACCCAGCCCTCCATGATCTTTATCCATGCACAACTGATCCCACGCAACCAGATGAGGACGAGTAGATGCTCTATTAGAACCCCACAAAAACCTCCTAATATGTTTCTCAATATCATTGCAGATTCCGAGAGGAACAACAGAAACTTGCATTGTGTAGGCTGGAATAGCTGAGAGAACAGCTTTCGAAAGTGTAATTCTTCCTGCTAGAGAAAGACTGGTGTGGTTCCAGGCATTAATCCTAGATTGAACTCGATCGAGGATATGACTGAAAGCCGCCCTCCCAACTCTGCGATGATGAAGAGGAATACCCAAATACTTTCCAAGATCCACCGTCCTTGAGAAGCCCAACTCACCACTAAGTTCCTCTGCCAAAATATGATTCACATTGTGGGAGAAGAGAATTTTTGTTTTTTCATGGTTAACCTTTTGCCCAGAAGAAAGACAAAAATCATCTAGCACCTTGGAAATGGTTTGGGCCTGATCAAAAGATGCATCCGCACAAAGAATAAGATCATCCGCAAAAAAGAGGTGAGAAAAGGGAGGAGCATTTCTCCTCAACATGATCGGCTTCCAGCACTTTTGTCTAACTGCATGGGAAATGAGATGACCAAGTCGCTCCATACACAGAATAAATAAATATGGGGACAAAGGGTCACCCTGTCTAAGCCCCCTGGATGGGAAAAACTCCTGAGTTATGGAACCATTCCAAAGAACATTCATCGAACAAGAAGAAACACACCACATAACAAGATTAATGAGATTTGGGGGGAGTCCCACATCCTGAAGAGTATCTCGGAGAAAGTCCCAGCTAATTCTGTCATAAGCTTTCTCCAGATCCACCTTAATCATCATCCAACCTTTGGCGCCTTTCTTTGACCTCATAGAGTGAATAATTTCCTGAGCAATAATTACATTATCTGTCCCTTGCCTTCCTTTGATGAAACTACACTGGTTAGGCATAACAATTTTATCCATCTGCAATTTCAAACGGTTAGCAATAAGCTTAGTAATAGTCTTATAAATAACATTACAAAGGCTAATAGGCCGGAAATCTTTAAGGGATTGAGGTGAAGTTATCTTCTGGATCAGGCAAATAAGAGTTTGATTAATATCCCGAACTTTTTGGGGATTATTAAACACATCTTTCACCAGATCACAAACAGAGCTTCCTACAGTATCCCATTGAGATTGGAAAAATAGACTATGAAGACCGTCCACCCCTGGAGCTTTGTGAGGTCCCATGGAAAAAACTGTACTCCTAACCTCCTCATTCGAAGGAATGCTACCAATATGAATGTTGTGCTCTTGCACAAGGTGAGGAAAATAGCCTCTAATTGGAAGCCCAGGTCTAGCAGTATTATCCTCTTTAAACAAATTACGATAATACTCCACCGTCATATTCATCAGAATAGAGGGATCACCAATCCAATCACCAGCATCATTTTTCAGAGCATCAATACGATTTCTCCTCCTCCTAGCAGCTGTAGTAGAATGGAAGAATTTCGTATTCCGGTCACCATATTTCAACCAGCTAGCCCTAGACCGCTGAAACCAAGTAAGATCCTCCCGAATATAAATGAGATTCAACTGACGCCAAAGATCTTTCAGCAGAATTTCTAGAGCATGGCAAGGATGGTGACTAAGAATACGGTCAATACCCCTTAGTCTCGCCTGAAGATTATTCTTAAGCTTGGCATCTTCCCTAAAGCACTCCTTATGCCAGTGAGAAGCATTCGATCGAAAAGTTTCACTAGCTGTGCCCCAACCTGTACTCCCATTCCAACACTCCTGCACTAGGCCAGGGAAATCCTCATGAGTGAGCCAGGCTGCCAGAAATCTAAATGGACGGCTCCCTCCAGGATGGTGAGGAGAAGGACCCTCCCAGAGAAGAAGAGGTCTATGATCCGAGCAGTAGCAGGGAAGATGAGTCACAACCCTGTTAGGAAAGGACAATTGCCACTGCTCATTCGCACAAACTCTATCAAGACGTTCCTTCAATCTGCCTCTATGCCAAGTGAAAGTAGGCCCCTGATGACCCAAGTCTTCCAGATTGCAGTTCATAATACAATTTTGGAAATCATAAATACTCCTCCAATCAGGCGGGCCACCTCCCTCCTTTTCTGCTGCATGCAAATAAGAATTGAAATCTCCCAAAATGCACCAAGCCTCCGAGGATTGCTGTTGTAACCTTCCTAGAGCATCCCACAGAGACACCCTCTCAAGACGCCGCGGACTGGCATAAACAAAAGTAACAGCTTCCTCCTTCCTCCTATTACGCCAAAAAAATTTTAAATGGATAAACTAACGA